GCACCACCTCCAGGGCCGCCTCGTCGAAGATCTGCAGCAACTCGGCGGGCGCCTCGGGCAGGAAGTAGGCCAGGACGTGCTCGCGGGCCGCCAGGTCCTCGTAGTTGACCACCAGGCTCTCCTTGTTCTCTGCAGGTGACAAGGGGGCACGCTCGGCTCACGGCCCAGGAAGCTCACCCGCCCCCCGTGTGGACATCCAGCCAGAAAGCCCCCCGTTGGAGGTGGCTGTGGGACCAAGGCTGGAAAGGAAACTAGTAGCTCGGGAGGCTGAGGCAGGAGGATCGCAAAGTGGAGGCCAGCCTCGGCCACTTAAGACCCTAAGCAGCTCAGCGAGACCCCCTCTCTCAATAAGATATAAAATGGGCTGGGGACGGGAGGGCTCAGGGCTCCAGGGACCCTGGGTTCAATCCCTGGCACCCAAAAGAAAACCCCAGATCTGTAGCCGATCTGCCCCAGTACCTTTGCACATGTCGCTGATGCGCTCCTTGAACACGTTGTGCCCGTGGCCGTCCACGTGCGTGCGCAGGAAGTTCTTGAAGCGGTGGTGGATCTCCAGCCGCGGCCCGGCCATGCTCACCCACTCGCGCACCGAGTGTCCCTTGAGGTCCTCCAGGTTCTCGATGCTCTCGATCATCTCCTCGTCCTCGTCGCCCTCCTCCGTGGCGCGCTCCACCTGGCGCCTCTTGCGTGCAGGGCGCTCATCCTCCTCCTCGTCGCTGTCTGTCGAGGCCGGGGACAACTGCGGATGAGGCCGGTCCCCTGCGTGGTGGCCCTGCCCCGCCCCTCCCACAGTGCACAACCTGACCTACCGTACAGCAGCCCCCTGCGCATGCGCCCCAGGCCCCGGCCGGCCTCCCGGTCTCGCTGCCGCATGACCCGCTCAGCGGCCTCCCTCTGGCTGGCGGTCAGCTCCTCCACGTCCTCGTCATCCAGGGCCAGTCCCTCAGTCTCGTAGGCGTCCAGCTCTGGGATGGCCCGGTAGTCCCTTGAGAGAGCCCCCAGATGGAACCAGTCAGTGACCACCCCCGCCCCCAAAAAGCACCCAAGGCCTGGAGCTGCCCCCATGAGGCTCAGGAACCCCAGCCTGCCACCTCCAGGTCCGAAAACTGCCCGCCTGTCCTCCCAGCGGCTCGGGAGGCTGAGGCAGGAGGATCGCAAGGTGGAGGCCAGCCTCAGCCACTCAGCGAGGCCCTGAGCCACTCAGCGAGACCCTGTCTCGGAGGGGCCCTGTGACTCATGAACTTGTCCCCCGCCCCCAGACCCTGGACCCAGAACTTTCCAGCACCCTCAGTGAGGTCACCAGGACAAACGGGCTCCCTGCCACCAAGCCCAGAGCCCGCAAGGAAGGTACCTCTCCATGCCGTCTCCAATAAGCTCCTCCCCATCCTCCTCGTCCTCCACGGGCCCCTCGGTGCCCAGCAGCCCCTCAGACTCATCCTCAAAGGGAGGCAGGTCGCGGCCAGGGCTGGAGGTGAGGGCATCTGTCCTCCGGGAGCTCCGCCCAGGGCTGGAGGTCAGGGGGTCATTGGCTCTCCGTCGCCGGGCAGGACTGGACGCCAGGGAAAGAGACTCGGATGATTCCTGCCAAAGAAGATGCCACCATCCAACAGCCGCGTTGCAACCTCAGGACCTTTGCACTTGCGGTGCCACGCTGCCTGCATGCTCTCCACGGAGCAAATATCTCAAGTGACAGTTGGGAAACGAGTGTCACCACCCCCCTCCAACACGGCGGATCACTCCGTGACCCTCCATTTTCTTCATGAAAAACATCGCCGTGAAGAAGTGCCGCGCCAATCATCCCAGCGGCTCGGGAGGCTGAGACAGGAGGATTGCAAACTGGAGGCCAGCCTCAGCCATCGGGGAAGGCACTAGGTGACTTAGGGAGACCCTGTCTCAAAATTTTTTTAAAAAAAAATAGGGCTGGGGACAGGGCTTGGTGGTTACGTGTCCCTGGGCTCAGTCCCCAGAACCAGGAAAAAAAAAAAGTGCAGAAAGAGGTGGCGACCCTGCGCCTAACTTGTGCACGCCAGGTATACAGATGGCGCCCAAAAGGTGCGCAGAGTGGAAAATAAAAGGGGCCGGGAAGGTCGGGCTTAGGGAGGGCCACGGGGACGCGGGTGTCCCCAAGCGGAATCGAGCAGCGCGGGTCCCCATCACCACGCGGGTCTTGCAAGTGAGAGGGGGACAGAGGGGACCGACGTCACCCCGGCGTCCCCACCCGGGGCCGGCCGCACAGAGGCGACATGCGGCCTCCACCCGCCGTCTCGGCGCTCGCACGCCACCCCCGCGGCCCGCCCGGTGTCCCCGCGAGCCCCGCCGCCGCGCGCTCACCGCCATCGCCGCGCCGCGCTCCGCTCCGCAGCTCCGGCCGCCACCAGGTTTCGCGCCAAAAGCGGCCCACGTGACCCGCCCGAGCCCGGGAAAGCGCCCGGAATAACATTACGTCACGACGCAGCGTCCGTTTGCGTCGGGGGGCGGGTCAGTGGGCTGTACCGCCCGAGGCCACGCCCACGAGGGCGGAGGCCACGCCCACGCCGCCTCCTGGAGCTCGGCGCTCGCTCCGCTGCACAGACCAGCAGCCGAGCGGGAGCTGCCTGCCGCCGCGGGGGACTTGGGGGACGGACCCCGCCGACGGAGCGGCGTGACCTTTATCAAGGTAGGGGCCATTTTAGAGAAGAGGCCACGGAGTCCCAGAGCCTTGGTGGAGGAGCGCGGCTTCCTGTTCTGAGGAGCGGACCGGTGCACTTCTGCAAAAGCTCTAAGGCTCCGCACTCTGGTTGGGTGGGAAGTTCATCTGATAGTCTAATCCGAGTCATCCTCAGCCAGAGGAGCCAAGACGCCAAGAGGGCGTCCAGCTAGAAGGAATGGCATGTGCGAAGCTGTCCGTCTGCTCGCGGAGTGGGCGTGGAAGCCATTCCTTGGATCTGGTGAACAGGTGGTTAACCCCAAGGAGGGACATCCCCAAAGATCGCATCACCAAAGATCTGGAGGTCTTCCTAGGGAGTCTGAGCTGAGGGTCCCAGGGATTGAACCCAGGGGTGCTTCACCCCTGAGCCCCGTCCCCAGCCCCTTTTTCTATTTTATTGAGACACAGGGTCTCGCTGAGTGGCTCAGGGCCTTGCTCAATGGCTGAGGCTGGCCTCCACCTTGCGATCCTCCTGCCTCAGGCCTCCTGAGCCGCTGGGACAAGTCCCTCATTCTTCCTACGGTTGATCTTCTACCTTCTGGAGCTCCTCTCTCAAAGTCCCCCGTTCACTAGTCACTGGGTCATCCAGCCTGTTGAGCTCAGTGACATCCACAGGGTCAGCCAGAACAAGGCTCAGAAGAATGTCACACAGTGGTTTAGCTCCTTTCAGATTAGCAAAGGGTGGTCCAGTCCCCCCAGGGCCAAGATCGCCCTCGCCTGGATCCGTTCCTGTAAAAGCAAAGGATTCCTGATAGGGATAGAAGAGGGGTGTGGCCAGATGGAAGGCCACACCCCAAGTATCTGTGGCCTCCCAGAGGATCAGTCTGCACTAGGCAGATGAATTCAGCCAGGCCCGCTCACCCATGAGGCACAGAAAAGTAGACAGGGTAAGAAAAGTGAGTATGTGAGGAGAGGGATTATTCATCCTCTTGTGGTGGGGGCCAACCCCCCAACATGATGGAGGTGGTCAAGAGGGGTGCTAGGCGGGCCCACGCCTGTCATCCCAGCGGCTCGGGAGGCTGAGGCAGGAGGATGGCAAGGTGGAGGCCAGCCTCAGCCACTGATCGAGGCCCTGAGCCACTCAGGGAGACCCTGTCTCTCAATAAAATAGAAAAAGGGGCTCGGGACGGGGTTCAGGGGTTAAGCACCCTGGGTTCCATCCTGGGTACCCAAAATTTAAAAAAAAACAAGGTGACGTGGATCTCTGCCATTTTTTCTCTGGTGTGGGTTGTCTTGGTCGGTCGTGGGTGACGTGGGTGACGTTGGTGTTTGAGGACTTTCTCTTGATTTTTATCATTTCGACCAAGGAACCCTGATGGGCCTGCTGCCAACTACTGAGCGCATCTGTTTTTTTAGTGACGTCTTCAACCTTGAGGGTCAAGTGCACCCCCTTGGTCTCTGATGGCTATGCACGACCAATGGCTTTTATTGGCTTTATTTAGCAGGGATTCAATCCAGATTGAACCCAGGAGTGCTTCACCCCTGAGCCCATCCCCAGTCCTTTTTATTTAGAGCCAGGGTCTCCCTGAGTTGCTCAGAGGCTGAGGCTGGACTCCAACTTTCGATCCTCCTGCCTCAGCCTCCTGAGTCTCTGCGATGACAGGCGTCCGCCCCCTGCGACCAGCCAAACTGCTGTTTATTGAACTTTGTGAAGGTCACGCTCTGCCCTGTGTGTGGGAGATATCGACAGGGAATGAGCCCTGCCTCAGTTTTCCCAGGGAAGGAGGTGACGCGGATGCCCTCAATTATTCCACAAATACAATAGAATTCACAGAAACCTACAGGTGGGGTCCAAAATTCAAGAGCAGAAAAATGCAGAATTGTGCATTTTGGTAGTTATAGAAGCCCCCACCCGCTGTGTTCCAGAGGAGGCCTCTAGTCTTAAGACAAACAGAAAAGAAGCCAGGTAGGGTGCAGTGCCAGCAGCTGGGGAGGCTGAGGCAGGAGGATCGCAAGGTGGAGGCCAGCCTCAGCCACTGAGCCAGGCCCTGAGCCACTCAGGGAGACCCTGTCTGTCAATAAAATGCAAAACAGGGCTGGGGAGGGGGCTCAGGGGTTAAGCGCCCCTGGGTTCCATCCCTGGTGTCCCCCCCAAGTAAAAAATGATATAAAAATTGGTGTCCCAGCTTGGTGGCTTCCTAGTTGAGTGGCCTCCGTTTTCCCGCCGCGGGGTTGTTAGGAGGAGTGGCTGGGACGCTGAGGTGGCGGGCCGCGCTGGGGGAACTGCGTCGTGCAGACGGAGGGACGTTCCTGCCCTTCCTTCCTCGGGCAGGTGACCAGAGGTCACCAGTGCTGGGCGCCTGGGGCGGTGGCACGCGAGAGGGCGGTCCCCGGAGGCCCCGCCCTGGACCGTCCACAGGCGGCCACCCTGGCTGGGGGAAGTGGCCGGCTGGCGGCGATCTGGTCGGTTGACAGCTGCTGACAGCTGCAGGCGCGGTGGGTGGGGAAGCGGGTGGCCTTGTGTCCTCCTGCCCGCGGTTCCGCACCGCTTTCCGGGTGAGCCCCCGGCCAGCAGCTTCGCCATCCCCCGCAGCGGCCCGGTCTCTTTAAGAGATTCGCGGGGCGCCCCGCCTCTTAGAGATCTGATTGGTCGCCTCCGCTCGTTTCGGTAAGAGGTCTATCCCGATTGGCTACCGAGGGCCGGGGGGGCGGGCCTGAGTGTTTCAAGTAGGGACTGTGGATGTTTTTCGCAGTTTCGGATGGGCGAAAAACACGCTCCGGCTTTCTGGGTCGCCGCTGCTGGCAAGGGCTGCCCGGTGTCCTCGGGGCTGGCGGGCCCTGCGCGCTGGTGACATCTCTCCCACCTCGCCCACCGCCCCCCATTCGCGTGGAACCGGCTTCCGAGACTCTTGCGCGACGCTCCCCGTCCCCTGCCACCGACCCTGGCCGCGGAAGGCCGGAGTCCCCGGGGCCTGAGCTGGGTCCTGGCACTCGGCGGCGGCGACAGTGGATGGGCGGCCCGGGCGGCCAGGCCTGAGCGCTGACCCTGGGCTCTCAGGTGAGAAGGCGACCCCTCTCCCCACCTCCTGCCACCTCCAGGCCGGCACGAAGTCCTCCCTCCTCCTGTAGGGACAGTGGCCCACCTGTGTCCCCAAGAAGGTCCCCCACGAAGGTCCCCGACCCACTCAGGGCTCAGCCTCACCCGGCAGCTTTGGGGAAGTTTGAGAGAGGCCTCTGGGGGGGGAGGGTGATTTACAGGAAGAGGGCAGAGGGGACTTGGGGACCCTTGGGGACAGCCACAGGGGAAGGGTCGGGCAGGGACCTGGGCCCCCTGCGGCCTGAAGGGTCACAGCGTCCCCGTCCCTGTGCATAAACACGGTGGCAGCACCTGCCCCCAGAGGAGGCCTGCGCTGTTTATAAGTCAACTCTGGGTAAAGGCCAAGGGACACCTGGAAGGCCAAGGACTCTACCCCCCGGGGACCGAGGTCACAGGCGAGTGGCCAGCGATGGCAGACTGAGTGTCCCCTCACCTCTCAGCGAGCTGGGCACTGTGGGGGGACCCCCCGCTCCCCGCAGCCCCAGCTGGCAGTCGCGCCTGTCCTCACGTTTTATTGAGCACCTACTTTGTACCCGCTCTGCTCTGGGGGACTGGGCCGTGTGGACACACAGCCAGGGCCACTGGGGTATTCCCCCCACCTCCACTTGGGTCCTGGGGATTGAACCCAGGGGTGCTTGACCTCTGAGCCCCCTCCCCAGCCCCTTTTTTTAACTTTTTTATTGAGTGACAGGGTCTCACTGAGTTGCTGAGGCTGGCCTCCAACTGGCGATCCTCCTGCCTCAGCCTCCCCAAGCACTCTGCCCTACTTAGGACGGCTTGGAAAGGAGGTCAGGCCCTGTAAACAAAACCCAGGTGAGCTGGCCCGGGAGACATAGCTAAGGTGGCTTTCTCAAAGGAGGTAATGACAGGGCTGAGACTCGGATGACGAGACCTGGACCTGTGGGCTGGCTAGAGGACAAGCCAGCACCTGGGCCCCTAGGTAGGAATGTCACCGGCAGCTCGCTCCTCGGTCCAGGTGCCAATCTATTAAGGAGGTTTTGAGAAAAGGGTAAAAAGAAGGCTCCTTGCTTTGCTAGCTAAGGAGAGATTATCTGTGACACCCAGAGAGGGGAAGTGATTCACCTAAGGTCACACAGCAATCAGAGCCTCCTGTCCCAGAGGCTATGATTCTGTCCTTCACCAGGGAGAGGGGACTCAGAGAAAATGAGACTAGGGCGGGGAGACCAGGGAGGAGAAGGTCAGGGGGAAGAAGATGAGGGAGGAGAGGTTTAGAAAAAGAAGATTAGATAAAAAAAGAAACATGTAGCTTATTTATTTATTTATTTAAATTTTTTTTGGCATTAGGGATTGTACTCAGGGGCACTTGACCCCTGAACCCCGTCCCCAGCCCTATTTTGTGTTTTATTTAGAGACAGGGTCTCGCTGAGTTGCTCAGGGCCTCGCTAAAGTGGCTGAGGCTGGCCTCCACCTTGCGATCCTCCTGCCTCAGCCTCCCAAGCCTCTGGAATGACAGGCGTGGGCCACTGCGCCCAGCTGGATTTAAAAAAAAAGATAAAATAAAAATCACTTTTTTTTTCAGTTATTTTAGCAGCTTTAAGACATAATGACAATTCTGGAATGGCCATAACTGCAGTGTGGTCAGCGGAAGAGACACAGGTCCAATGGCCACACTCTTGTCCCTACTTGTTACCAGGGGACTCGATGTAGAAAGAGCATCTGATAAGCCCTGCTTCAGGCTCCATAGCAACAGAGGCTTCAGAAGGGACCCCCCTGGGCCCACAAAAAGACTCCTTTCTCCTTTGACCCGCCCCCCAAGTTTCTTCCCTGGTAAGAGATGCAGCCATTTCTTTGTCTGTGGCTTTTGTGGACATTTTATGGGTCTGGTTTTGTTTGATCCTTAAGACAACCTTGCCAGGTGGGTGTTGTTATCCCTGTGACACCCAGAGAGGGGAGGTGACTCACCTAAGGTCACACAGCAAGCATGTGGCCCAGCCAGAAGTCCAAGCCCTGTCAATCAGACGATGGTAGCTGGAGTTTTTCAGGCCTTTGGGTTTGTGGAGTCTCCACTTCCGGGTACTGACAGCAAAAGTCTCAGGGCAGATTCTCATTGGTCAGGGAGATGGAGCTTCCTGATTGGCCAGCCTGAGATCACGTGCACATTCCCTGGAGTTGGGAAGGGGTGGAGTCAGGCATGTTAAATCGCAGGGTGGGGGGGGTTTGAAGCAGGGTAATGATGAGACCCCTTGTGGGGTGACCCTCTGCTCTGCTAAGATTACCCATCTGGCCCTGCTAAGATTACCTCTCCAACTACCCTGGCCTACTTTTTCCCCCTGCACTTTTGCCAAGTGTGTCTCTATCTACCTCAGGGCCTTTGCACCTACTTTTCTTTCCCTACAATGTTGTTTATCCAGATTCCGCCCCCCCCAAGGCTGCCTCCTCCCTTAGATCTCTGTTCAGATGTCACCTCGTCTGGCCACCCAATCCAAAGCAATACCGCCTTATATTCTTTGGAATTTGGGCTTCGCTGTCGAAACAAAAGTCAAAATAACGAGATAATTATTTGTTGCATGACACTCTCTGTAAACAGGCCAGGACATGCATGGAGGGGCACACATTCTTACTGCTTCGTTATCCTCCAATACATGATTTTTAGCTTGTTATCGAAAATACATGGTTTCTTTCTCATGGCCTAAAAATGGCTGCTCTTGCTCCCACCATCACACCCATATTCTAGCCAATGCAAGGGGACAAACCTCATTCCATTCATGCCTCCCTGAGGAGGGGGAAAAATCGGCCATGGGGCCACTCCCAGCTGCAAAGGAAGCTGGGAAAAAAGTAGTCCTTGTTCTGGGAAGCCACAGACGAGTTAGAATGCATGGGTTCTGCTACTGAAGGAAAGGATAGGCGTGGGGTCCTGCGTCTCGTGGTTCTGCCTCACTCAGCTGTTTTCCTCTCTTTTTGGCATTTGCCTCTAAGAGAAATGGGGGTGGCTTTGTTATTGCTTGGGGGATCCTAAGGTAGAGGCTGAGACTAGAGGCTGGGCCTCTACCCTGAAGGCTGTTCTCTGTGTGGGAGCCCCTCTGGGGTCTGTGTTTCCCTGGGGGCCTGAGACCCAGAGGCCCCCCCTAAACCTAGGGTCTTGGCTCCTCAGGGCGCTGCGGTAGGATGTCCGCCCCGGGAGGCACCAACGGGAGCTCGGAGCCCGCGCCACCCCTGGCGCCCAACATCACGGTGCCCCACCGCTGCCTGCAGCTGCTCTATGAGGACATCGGCTCCTCCAGGTGCGCCTGCGCTGTCCGGGGGGCGTGCAGGGAGGGGCTGGGGTGGGAGGACCTCCGCACCTCCAAGTGCGCCTGCGCCCTTGGCACCTCCATTTGCGCCTGCGCTGTCCAGGGGGTTGTGCAGGGAGGGGCTGGGGTGAGAGGACCTCGGCACCTCCAGGTGCGCCTGCGCTGTCCAGGGGGCGTGCAGGGAAGGGCTGGGGTGGGAGGACCTTGGCACCTCCATTTGCGCCTGCGCTGTGCAGTGAGGGGCTGGGGTGGGGAGACATGAGCCCCTCCAAGTGCGCCTGCGCCATCCCCGGGGATGTGTGGGGAGGGGTCTGGGTGGGAGGAGGGATGCCCCAGCGCGTCAGCCACCTGCTCTGCACCCCTCTGTCAGGGTCCGGTACTGGGACCTCCTGCTGCTCATTCCCAACGTGCTCTTCTTCATCTTCCTGCTCTGGAAACTTCCATTTGCTCGGGCCAAGATCCGCGTCACCTCCAGCCCCATTTTTATCACCTTCTACATCCTGGTGAGTTCGTTCCCAATGGTGACAGAAAACCCAACTCCCACGGGCTGGAGCCAAAATAAAGGGGGGGAGGAATTCATTCTCTCTGGAATAAAAATCAAGCTTCAGGTATGGCTGGATCCAGGAGGTGAAAGGATGTCAGCAGGGCTTCTTGACTCTGCTCTCTGCTGACCTTAGCTCAGATATGTCCCCCCTCCCCGCCATGTGGTGTCAAAGACGGTCAAGAGCAGCTTGCGCTAATGTCGTTCCATCAGGGGGTGCCTCTGTTCTAGGGGTACCAGGGTAGGTAGGCCTGGCATGTCCTCTGAATGGTGCACCCTGAGCCAGACACCGTGATGGCACGGAAAGGGGTTCTTGGGTGCCCCGCCAGATCACATTGACTGAAGGAGGTGGATGGTCCCTAAAAGAAAATTGCAGAACTGGCAGTAGAGGGCAGGGGAAGCCGGGTAGGAAACCGTCCACAGTAGTCTCTGTCCATCTGTCCGTTTCTGGAGATTTCTTTGGAGCAGATTGATTTATTTATTGGTACCAGGGACTAAACCCAGGGGTGCTTCACCCCTGAGCCCTGTCCCCAGCCCCTTTTTATATTTTATTTAGAGACAGGGTCTCGCTGAGTTGCTCAGGGCCTTGCTAAGTGGCTGAGGCTGGCCTCCAACTCGAGATCCTCCTGCCTCAGCCTCCCAAGTTGCTGGGATGACAGATGTGCTGACCTGTGTGCAAGAAGGTTCTTCTAGAGGAAGGGCACAGACCCCAGGTAGACAGAGGTGACAGGTGCCTTGCCCAGGCATTTCTGCAAAACCTGTTGAGCCCGAGTCCTCTGTGGCCTCCTTTCCCCCAATTCCTCTGCGTCTCCAAATTAGAAACCACAAACAGAATAATTCCGAAGGCAAATATGTACTTAGCCCTTCCCGGATGCCAGGCATGGCTCCTGCCACCTTATATTAACCCATCAGATGCCACCACCGACCAAGGACAGCAGGTGTGACTTTTACTCCTGTCTTATAGACGGGAAGACAGGCACGGCTGGTCACCGTGGCGCACACCTGTCATCCCAGCAGCTTGGGAGGCTGAGGCAGGAGGATCAGAAGTTGGAGGCCAGCCTCAACCACTTAAGGAGCCCCTCAGCAACTCAGTGAAAACCTGTCTCTCAATAAAATATAAAAACGGGTTGGGGAACGGGGCTCAGTGGCTAAGCCATCCCCAGGATCACAAAAAAGAAAACAAAGAGGGACCGAGGCACAGTCACTTGCCTGAGGTCGCGGAGCAGGAAGGCAGTGGAGCGGGGATCAGAGCCCCCTTGGTGACCCCTGCTAAGCCCTGGGGTGCAAGGCAGGAAATCGGGGCCCAGATGGAAGGGCAGGCCTGAGGTCAGCAGCCGTGGAGACTCTCCATGTCTCTGAGCCTCGCCTCCTGGAGGCCGCTCCCAGCCTCTCTGCCTCCCTGTGGTCTAGTTTGGAATCCTTCCATCCTTGAGGTCTCAGGAGAGTCTTGTAGAAGCAGCGGGGTGGCTTACTGTCCCAGCTGTGGCCTGACGCCCCTCCCCACACCCTCCCTCCCCCACCAGGTGTTCGTGGTGGCCCTGGTGGGCATCGCCCGGGCCGTGGTGTCCATGACGGTCAGCGCCCGGGCCGCGGCGTCAACAACCGTCAGCACCTCAGACCCTGCGACTGTTGCCGACAAGGTGTGACAGGGCCCGCTGGGAGGTGGGGAGGCTGGGGGGGGACCCAGTCCCCGCCTGACACCCTGCCCGCCCTGTGTGCAGATCCTGTGGGAGATCACCCGCTTCTTCCTGCTGGCCATAGAGCTGAGCGTGGTCATCCTGGGTCTCGCGTTTGGTGCGTGCGACGCCGGGGCTCTGGGGCTCTTTCCTTGTCCCCTCCCTGGCTGGGACCAACCCCGACCCGGTTCCCCGGGGCTGGATTCCACGCACTGACCAGCACGTCTCTTCCAGGCCACCTGGAGAGCAAGTCGAGTATCAAGCGGGTGTTGGCCATTACCATTGTGCTGTCCCTGGCCTATTCTGTCACCCAGGTAAGAGGCGGGGTGCACGGGGACAGGAGGGCCGGGCCGATGTCCATCAGGGGAGTGTGACAGATCGATTGCCTATTAGCCAGGAAAGTGCTGGGGGCTCCTAGGGTCTCGCTGAGTGGCTCAGGGCCTTGCTAAGTGGCTGAGGCTGGCCTCCTCCTTGAGATCCTCCTGCCTCAGCCTCCCACGTCCCTGGGATGACAGGCGGGTGCCCAGCGAGAACCTACCATCTTAATAAGCAGAACCAGAGGAGCACACCCCCCCCCAGGACAGGTCCCCAGGCTGGGCCGGTGGCTGAGAGCCAGGGGAGGCTGGGGGAGGCATTTGGCGGGTGGTGGCAGCCTCTGGAGGCTCCCCCTGCCTCCTGCCTGCAGGGGACCCTGGAGATCCTGTACCCGGACTCCCACCTCTCCGCCGAGGACTTCAACATCTACGGGCACGGGGGCCGCCAGTTCTGGCTGGTCAGCTCCTGCTTCTTCTTCCTGGTGAGCTGGGCCGGCGGGCAGGGGCCTGGGTGCCCAGTTGGGGTGGGGAGCCTGGGCCAGGAGGCCCACCCTGCCCCTGTCCTCTCCGCAGGTCTACTCCCTGGTCGTGGTCCTGCCCAAGACGCCGCTGAAGGAGCGCATCTCCCTGCCCTGTGAGCAGCGGGCAGGCGACTCTGGGGACAGGGACACAGCAGGGACAGGGATGGGGGGGTATTGCTGGCCTAGAGCTGGGGGATCCTGGGCGGGAGGCCCGTGAAGGGTGGGGGAGGCCTGGGCAGGCGGGACAGCCGCTCAGGACCCTCTGGTCCCCAGCGCGGAGGAGCTTCTACGTGTACGCGGGCATCCTGGCGCTGCTCAACCTGCTGCAGGGGCTGGGCAGCGCGCTGCTGTGCGCCGATGTCATCGAGGGCCTCTGGTAGGCGGGGCTCGGAGGGGACAAGGTTCTGCCCTCTGGGGGTGGGGGGGAGTGAGGGCGGGGCCTGGTGGGGTGAGGGCGGAGTCTGACCCAGGGTGAGGGCGGGGCCTGGCCCAGGGTGAGGGCGGGGCCTGGCCCAGGGTGAGGGCGGGGCCTGGCCCAGGGTGAAGGCGGGGCCTGGCCCAGGGTGAGGCGGGGCCTGGCCCAGGGTGAAGGCGAAGGTGGGACCTGGCCTAGGGGAGAGGGTGTGGCCTGGCCTAGGTGGGGGCGTGGCCTGACTTTTGGCGGAGTCTGGCCCAGGGTAGGGGGCGG